CTATCCAGTGCTTTTTTTGTAAAAAAAAAAAAAAAGGTGCCAGAACTCGTCGCCACCGGCAGTAAGCGCGCGACCACACACACCAATCCCAAGCCGAGCAGTGGAGCAGTGTCCCAAGCGAGAGCAGCGCCCTCACTATCTCACTATCAGATAGCAGACACAAAAGCAGCCCCCCGCAGGTTAATGATGTTTGCTGCTGATCTACTACGATTCAAAATCACTTCGTAAAATCCATTGGAAAAAATGGTGCCGGAACGCCATTCCGGTGCGTTCAATGACAAAAAAAGCCTGGCGCTATCTTTACTGGCACTTAACAGCTGCAAGACAAAGCAACCCTAAAAGCCCTCTAGTGAGTTTGGAAGCTTAGTCTCTGCTCAGGTCAAGAAAGTTGCTGCACCCGAACTGGGGACTTTCCCCACAAATCCTGCCCTTCCAGTAACTCCAGGGCTTCAATCTCAGGGCGGCTCCTGCTGTTGAAGGACCAGCCAGAGAAACCTATGCAGGCCCTCTACCTGGGCAACTCATCTCTCCCAACACCTTGTTATGGGGTCTGGGACTGGGCAAGGCAATGACTCTCCCTCCTCCCCTTCTTGGACCCCTTCCGCTTGTTCCAAACATTCCCAATATCCTGGCAACCTGGACAGTGACCTTGTGGTCTCCTCCAAGGTCTGTGCCTCTGTCCCATCTCTCAAAGCTCCCATCTCTGCTGTCTCAAGCTCCCATCTTCTTCTGCCTGCCAAGAGTGGTGACTGGCTCCACCCACTAAAGTTCCTCAGTGGAGAATTAGCAATCCTAAAAGTAGCCTGGAAACAAGTAGAAATACTCATTTCTCTTTGGTGAGCTCCTCTGTCTAGGCTCTTCCAGAGCTGAGCTTTTAAACTGGTTTCTGATGCCTTCTGGATCTGCTAAGTTCCCATTGCATTTGTGTAGTTTCCACTAGCCTGTGGGCCATGTTGGATGCTGCCCTCTAGATTTTATTTCTCACAATGTCAGTTTGGTATCTTCTCATGGAAGCTACTTGGAACATGGGGAATGTCACTGAGCTCAGCCGTGGCTGCTTTCTACACAAATGCTCCATAGGTTGGTATTTTGGGGGCGTCACCCTTGCATAGCTTTTTCCAACTTGGTGTCCTCCAGAAATATTGGGCTACATTGAGAATTCTCATCCATTAGCCATGCTGGCTGGGACTAATGGGAGCTGAAGACCAAAAGATGTTGTGGACAGCTGTTGGGGGAAATTGCCCCAGTACTTCCGTCTCATAGTTATTTTGTTCTGCGGGTGGAAGTTCATGGGAGACTTGATGCTGGTGGATTCAGTAGCATGCCTTTATCGTAACCGAATTGCCTTGATCGTATGTCTTTCGCAAATTACAGTATGCAAAACTAGAGAATTCCAGATTCTCAGTAACGTCTCCAGATTGCCACCCAGCGAGACAACCCCTAAGGAAACCTTTCAACAGGCCAGTGTAGATTCTTCATGAAAACCATATTTGGGCATTCTCCTTCCCATGGTTAAGAATCATATAGATAGGGAAAACCGGACTGGAGTCACTAACCACATCCCCTCTGCTCCCATCTCCCACCATCCTCTTTAGCGAGGGCACAACAATGTTTTGGCTGCTCATACTAAGTTTTAAATGCAAATGCAAATCTTACTAACTTTTAAATGCTTGCAAAACCCCAGGGTGGTGTCCAGAGTGATGGTACCACTAATGAATATTCTGTTGTCCCAGTGTCCTGCCCTTTGCATCTTACATTTGTTCCTTTTCACCCTCATTGTGTATCTCTGCCAAAATTCTGTGGCAAACCATCAATTCTCCACCCCAATGGCCACTGGGAGTGGAAAACAACTCCCAGACTTGGCAAAGTTGTCCACAGAACAAAGTTCCACATTATGTGCTATCATAAACAGCTTCTAGTGGAAATGGGGAAACCTCTCATTCCAAAGGCTATTGTTGTCGTGGTGTTTATGTTTATTGTGCTGTTTATGCCAGTGGATTATCTTTAATTACTTACTTTTACTCCTTTACTTAGAAGGAGTGTTGCTTTGATACTGGTCCTTGAGTTTGCTTGCAGTTCAAGAACTAATTTTTAAATTATGCTTGTATATTTGTTTAAGAAGATAGGAGAATCATTTACTGGTGCTTTTAAAAGTATTGTTCATTAATCACATCACCACAGAATATAAAGGTTTAGTAATTTACATTTTTTGAGCAAATAGCACATTTTAATCGGGCATACAACATTCGATGACAGTATTTCATAATAGTTATCTTTTAACACATCTGTACATTTTTAATCTTTTTCAGCAATAAAGTCTACAATTGCACAACTATTAAAGACTCGAGGTGACTAAACATGTGCTCTGTGGTTTCATACGGCTTGCAAATGTGATTTACTTGATTAGCAATTAGTATTGCATTGTAATTTCCAAACATTGGAATTTCTGGGTTTTTAAGTGGGAGATATTTCCTATACTGGATCTTATCTTGTGTTTTTAGATAATTGCTTTTGACTGATTCAGTCGTTTTCAGCTGGAACAAGTATAGGCTGTTTTGAGAAAAAATAGGATTATTTGTTCATTTAATAGAACAGAGAAACAAAAAACCATTTCAGCTGCAGTCTTTGGTGCTCCGGAAGGCATTACATTTGAATACTCAGCTGTAGATGTTTGCTTCCTGTGTTATAGTGGTTTTTAAAATGATTTTTGTTTATGCATCATTCCATGATTCCAGTTGAGTTAACTGTGCTTCAGTCCTTTTGAGCAATCATGCAAATAGTGTGCTAACTAGTGCCCTCAATTTTAAGTGTTTTGCAATCCCTCATTTGTTGGCATTCACAGCACCATCTGATGTCATTAACTGATCCTCCCAAGTTCAGTTTGGACATGCAAACTGGGAATACTAATTCATTCTCCATCAGCCTGTGTATTGAATGTGTATAGTAGTGGAATAGTGCTCCAATGATTAGAATCTCCAGTTCTAATATCAGTGTTCATGAGATTTTCATGGCATCATGAATTAATATGTGTGGGATCTCTCCTTTATTATGCTGGTGGCATTAACTTACAAGAAGGGACATGGGTGATGGGGGTTAATTAAGGAAACCAGAGTCAGGCCGTAATTGCTCATATCCCAGCTAGTGATCCACAGTTGGTCTACTCCATGTTCTAGCACTGCCCTGACTATGCAGTGCTCACAGGCCAACTGGATACTTCGTCTATCAAAACATTATAAGTCAGGCATGGGAAGGTGTGGTTGCCCAAATGTTTTTGGACTGCAATTCTCCAACAGCTGCAGCCGGCACGGCCAAGGGTGAGGGAAGTAGGTTGCAACCCTGAAGATGCTGCTGGACTGCATGTTCTCCATCCCTGTGGACAGTCATGGGCGACATCTTGTTTAACAGCTATATGAAGCTCTTGAGTATGGTCATCAGAAGGTTTGGGTCAAGGTGTCAGCAGGATTCAGATGACCCCAGCTCTGTTTCTCTGAATCAGAGAAGCATGCACTGAATCAGTACTTCAATGAGAGCTAATTAACTGAAATCGAATCCTGTAAGACAGAGACTGTGGGGCTTAGAGGTTCCCAGGTCCAGGAAATGGGCTGTTTGTCTGCCCTGGACAGAGTTGTCCTGAAGGAACAGATAGTTTGTGGGTACTGCTGGGCCAAGGTGACCTCAGTGGCTTGGAGTGTCTGCCTCCAGCTTCAGCTGATACAACATCTATACCCATTCTTGATGGGGCAACCTAGTCATGGTGATTCAGACACTGCATACCTCACAATTAGGCTATGGTAAGTGCTCTAGGTGGGGCTGCCCTTGAGCCTGGTTCAGAAGCTGCAGCTGGCGTGGAATGCAACAGCTACACTGCTTGCGGGGACATCCAGCTGTGCCCACAAGACCTGCGCCAAAAGAACTGCTCTGGCTTCCTATCAGCTACTAAGCCATGTTCAGGGTTATGGTATTGTCCTGGCTTAGGAGCAGGATGCCTTGCAGAACGTGCTCCTTCACAGATACCCAAGTGACCAAGAAGATTATCAGAGGAGGCCTTGGCTGACTATTCCAAGATGGCTGGACTGTTGCCATGTCATGTCTGGATGGCAGGCTTTCTTGGTGGTAGCACTCCCCCCCCCCCCGCCATGTGTGCAGGGGAAACGTCCTGCCATTTGGGAGACAGAGAATCTGCCATCTTTCAAGCCCCCCCTGAAGATGCACCTGCTTACCTTGTACTGAAGTTAACCATGCTGCTCCATTTTCCTACTCCTGCATTGCTCTCTATTGTGATTGTAACTGTGTGTTGTTTCTAAAATTGTTTTCAATTATAGTTTAAATAATGATTTTAAAGTTTATATAGGTTTATAAAATCCCCATATCCCTATTTATATATAGGGATTTTACTTATTTATTTAGGCATTTCTATCCTGTTCATTATCACGGAGTTGTCAGAACAGTATTTTAAATATACTTAGCAGTGTGTAAATAGTGTAAGTAAATAGCTACACAAGCATGAGCCAAGCGACAAAGCTCTCTGACATGTTTCCACTACAACAGCTGCAGGGAACTTTACATGGCCTGCCACTCGTGAGGAAACTCAGCCCTGTAAAATGAAAATAAAAGGGAGAACCAAAGTGGAATGGGCCCAACCAACTGGATCCCACGCATGCATGCACATGCCACTGAACTGGAAACTTAATATCTCTAGTCTCCTAGTGTTAACCCTTGGAATTACGGTGTAGATATAATATGAGCAGTTATGCCTCAAAGCAGCCGATTAATGTATTTTAGGATGCAGTCCTATGCACATGTGCCTGGGAGTAGCTCCTATTGAACTCAATAGGGCCTTCTTCTAAACATACAGCACTGCCAGTTAAATAGGTGCACTGTCTCCATGCAGAGAACAAGTACATGCAGCACTTGCTAATGAATTTGGGACCAGGTGGGATCCGACTGCCAGAAATACCGAGCAGGGTCAAGAAACGCTGAAGCATTAGAGATCACGTTAACTATTCAACTTCTTGTTCTTCCAGGTTGCCATTCCCAAGGGCTGGGATTTCCTTCTCAGGTAGCAAGCCATATTCATTAAGGAATGACTCCACATCCACAGCAAAAAACTCTTCGTTGAACTGTTCAGTGACACTAATGAAATTGCTGACCAGCTCCCCAGCTCTGTACACAAGCAACGTTGGGAGAACATCACTGGAGAAACGATCTCCTGCCCCTGTGTTGGATGCCTTGATCTTGCAGAATCTCACCGTGGAGTGCTCAGCAGCAAGACAGGTCAAGCTGCTGTTGAGGGCCTCGCAGCCCTTGATGCCATCTTCGTAGATGTGAACGATGACGGTTGTGGTCTTCCGCTCCTTCTCCACGGCTTCCAGGAACTGTTCCCCGTTCTGCAGCTCAGAGAGGTAGCCATACTTGGGCCCAAAGCTCAGCCGTTGATGCATGTCTTGCATGCAACGCTTGCGGTATTTCCGTAGGCAACTTTCGTCCTCTTTGTCGTCGTTGATCAGCTCGTACTCCTGCATGCTCATCTACAAACATTTGGAAGGGTCATTACTGAATGCAGTGGCTTATTCATGCAAAATGAGAGCTGTGCAGAACCCAAGGACAAAGGTGACTAAAGGAAGACTAGGAGAGGAGAGCTGGGATTCAGTTCCCACAGTCTAAGTGATGATTCCTGCCATGTATCTGCACGATTCTTGTATTGCTGACCATGGTGACTCCAGAGGCAAAGGGGGATGGACGGTGAAGTCCAGTACATTTTGTCTTGATAAGCACACATGTAATAAGTGCATCAATAGATGAATCAGAGCGGGCGAATAAATGCACCAACATTAGGCATGCTGATGGATTGTTACTATAATATTTATAACTGGAGGTTCATAGGGACTGACCTGAAAAATTGTGGCATGGTAATTTTGGGTTGTCACCTATCGTTGTCTCTCCTTACCTTTCAGGGTTTTCTCTTCCTAGGGACTTTCAGGATAGCAGTTAAATCTCAGTGAGGAAAGCCAAAGAGAGAAGACATTTGCCCGAGGGATGGTTCTAGGTCTGATTCTAAGGGCTACAGATGACTACGTGCATGTGTTTAAAAAAATGTATGGATTTGCACAGTTGCAAAAAGTAAGCCCCGTCGCATGCCCAATGGCCAAGAGTCCCTGCTGCGCATGCGTCTGGCATGTGTGAGCAGGCTCTTGACGTGCATACAGACCTCTTATGCATGGTGAGTGACTCTCATGTGGGCAAACTCTGTGCATGTACTGATACACACACAGATTCCAGTGCGTCCATGCTGAGAGTGACTGCCAAGAACATGCAGCTCGAGGAAGGAGCACAACAATGGCTCTTCACTCGACCAACATTTGGGAAAGAGTGAGGCTCAGTTCCTTGTTGATCCCAACTCACCAATGAGCTAGGCTTATTCTTTGGTTACACTTGGGTCTTCTCTTGTCCAGGTAGGCTTCCTCCTGGGCAAACCCCAGACAGAAGAATCAACTAATGGCCAGGCAGATGGTCCAGTAACTACTCGAGTGTCCCAGCTGACTCATCACGGCCAAAGTTCGGGAGAGTTGTGGGACAAGTGTGGATGGTCAGGAAGCACTACAGGGTTGGGATGGATTTGAAAGGCTCCTTTGGAATGGCAGGGGAGGCAAAGGAGCTCCTCAGGCTGACCCACATCTTATCTGGAAGTGAGGTTTGCTGAGGAATCCTAATCCCTCTCTTCTGGAGAGGTCTCCCTGGGCCTGGGCCAGCTGGTAGCCTGATAGCCTGATATGGGAGCACGGGTGACAGGGGCCTGTTGAATGAGGGGCAGATGGCCTGAACCCACACTGATGATCATGTGCATGTTATATCAAGATGGACACAGAGGCAGAATTTCCTTCTTACCTTGCGACTGAATCGTTCTCGGGTGTCTTTATCATCTCTACTATGAGAGCGATGCGGTGAAGACATTTGCCGGATGAGGATCTCTTTCTTGCTTAGAGGAAGAGCATCTTGGTCTTTGCTTTCCAATTTAAACTTCCTCCAGTCGTTGATCACTCCTTTAGGTCCTGTGGGAAGAAAAAGTTCCCAGTTAGGAGTCACCTGAGGATGGGCCATGGGCATTGGGTACACATAACTGTTCCAAAAGCTTGAAAAGATTTACTCTGCAGTTCACCAGACTTACTCGGTGAATTACCGTGTGTATATTTTAAATTTTAAAAATCAAAAGGCAGTAAGTTTAAAAATGGCTAAGATTTAAAATGGCAAAAAGGTAAAGTAGCACTAGCTTTCTGTAGAGTCCTTCTGTTCTGCTGCAGAAGGCCATAGCTGCACCTCCAGATGTTTTAAGTTTCAGAATAGCTGGAAAGATAGACCTATTCCCTTTTGAATTGACTGGATTCCTGCAGAAAGCAACCACTTCCAGTGGCTTCTACTACATCCTGAGTCAATGAATCAGTGGTGCCCAATCCAAAATATCTTGGCAGCATTTTGTATCTCTGAGTATACTCTGCTGTTGCCTCGACCATGCAGTGTCAAGCCAGGGGTACCTAAAAGGTTTCCGCACCTGTATGTGTTGCCTCTGGTGCTTCAAATTCTTCTTCCAAACTAAGGTTCGTTTCCTCTTCCATTTCTGGGGCTGGCTGAGCACACCTAGCTGGGAAAAAGAAGCAGATATTTGACAAATGGACTGCAGGTTTCCAGAGAAGACGCATGCATGATTTTCCACTGCTCCTGATCTTGCTAAATTATACTGAATAACTCACCTGTTACCTCACGAAGGGGAAAAAACAGAACATCCTATCCAGTTCTTAGAAGGGATTACGCAAAGAAGCCTCAAGCAGACAAATATTGATGGCATAACAGGTAATTAAAACAAACATTGTAGTGCTCATTTGCAGAATGAAAGCTACGGTGGAGTGAATAAACGGCCTTGTGAAGAGAATCGCTTAACTGTGTATCACTGCAGATACTCCTGGACAGTTACAGATACAAACCAGAGAAGAACGGGAGCAGTGGTTTGCTTAACCATCCCCCTGCCTCAACTCCAAGAGGGGTGGGGAGTTTTTTCCCCACCGTAAGGAACTTATGGGTGAAGGGAGCTGAATTATTAATATCTCCTTAAATTTGGTCACTTTAGGAACTTGTTTCACCCCTGCATTTAGGGTAGTGAAGATGGAGGGAAAGGTATCGATGGTCATGGTGACTGGGAAAGGAAAGATGTACCTATGTGGGGAGTCAACTCTTGGGCATTTGGCTGCCAAAATGACTTCTCCCCTTGCTTTATAGGACAGACATCTCTAACCTGTCATATCAATAAGACCTCCAGTGAGGGAAATGCAGTGAGTGCGTTGCTTGCCCTGCAGTCTCAAACAAGACTATCAGAATTTTTGTATGCATAGGTATCCATCCTAAAGATGGAGGCTTGGCTATAACCACAGACATTATTTCCACTTAAATAATTTTAGGTTTAGGAGGAAATGCAAAAATATTCTCACTTATGTATGTTTCAGGGGGACTTGTGTATGAGTGTGTGGTTCTCAGGAGAAGAAATATAGGCTGCTGTTTTTAAGAGAGGAATTATTTGCCCTAGAGCTTTGGTGGGCTTGGTCCACAGAGACATATAAACATACCCCAAGGAAGCAGAACTGCTCTATAAAGTGGTATTTTTAGACAGTTGCAAGCATGAACAAGAGAAAATTGGCCAGAGCCAAGAGATAAGTATCTTCAGCTTCAAATGACTACATGGCATAATTAAAGGTTCAGAAGTAATTAGAGAAATGTCTTTTACTACTTCCTGGTATATTTCAAAGCCTGAGGGATTCCATGGCACCAACCTATAGTTAAGAAAAGACTCTGGTTGCCAAGTGGTAGAACACAAACTTTGCATACAGAACACCTGTGTTGCAATTTCTGGCATGTCCAGGTGGGGGTGATTCTGAGATGAATGGACAATTGGCCAGAGTTGTGTATGGCAGCCTTCTTCCTTTAATATCCAGTTGCTCTTCATTCTATACCATTTATGCTATTCTATATCCTTTCAGAGACACCCTCTATAGTATGTGTGTACAGATGTGTACCTTCACAAATCTTTTTTGACCACATGTGATTCATTTCTCAAGCACATCTGCATCCTCACTTGGTGGGTCCATAAAGAGAGGCCTGACTAGATATCTAATAGATGTGTTGCGCTACTGGCCTGCACCTTGGACATGCACATGGCTAGCATGTTATAGTAAATGAGGCTGATGATTCACCCCTTCTGCACTTCACTGCCCTGGTTCTCATATAACACTAACTCAAGATTTGGGTAGTCTAAATCTGGGTTATGATGATATATGAATATGACTGTACTCACAAACCATGTTAACTTGAACAACTCAGAAAGAGGACCCATGGTTTTATGTTGGGTTGTGAATGCTGGGTTGTTCAGACCATGGGCTGTCATTACATATGAACCCTGAACCATGAGTTGTTCGTGGGTTGTTTTGCAAGGCTACAAAGGTGACAAATGATAAAAGCCCCAGCAGCCACTCTACATACCAAGACTGCAATGTCACTAAGGTATTTGGGGTACTTTGAAAGAATGGACAAATGGGGATGGAAACAGGCAACCCTGGGAGTGAGAAAACACACTGCTTTGTTTGATTGGTTGCCAGACGAATCTTGGGCAGAGCAACAAACCATGGGTTAGCGTCACATGCAAATCTAGTCACTGGCTGCTCTCTGTGCAAGCCAAATGCAGGAATCCCTCTCTTTCAGGAACAGAGTTGGCTTATGCTCTCTGTTGATAACACTGCTCTGGGCAATGTGAGGCTTGCAATCCCCATCCTAAAGGCTCCTAAAATCCATGGCTCTTTTTTTTTTTTTCAGTTTAAGCTGAAATATACTATGCGGAGGCCCCACTCAGTCCTCACCACCACCACACCCACACCCATAGAAAGGTATGAACTGGAAACTGTTCTCAAGGGTTGCTTTGCAATTTGTCAATTCTGCGGACAACGCTAACAGCAGTGGATGATGTCTCATCTGCCTGACACTGAGAAGTGAGAGCAGAAGCCAGGCCAAGTGCATTGCTGAAGCAGTGCGTCACCCTCAAATCTGCAGTCACCTGCTCCTGATCGAGAGCTCTGAGAACAGCGCTCTGGGCATTCTCGTGATTAGCTGAAGCAAAACAAGATTAGATTAAAATGTTTTGAGAGTGAGCAGTGTCAGCTTGCACACATTTCAGAAGGGAGATGTATCTGTGCAGGTGGAAAACTCAACATTCTCTTTAGCATTCTTTCTTGTCTCTTTTTATTGAAATAGCTTTTGCTTAGAGCTTTGAATTGTGACCATTCTAAGCTTCCTATTTTTCCTGTATACAAGGCACTTCAGCAGAGCAAAAGCCAAACGCCCTTCCCAGCAATCACACATGACTGGGGCACACGTATGCATTCAGTCCCTGCATGACAACCTACTCTCAAGGGTTAGACGGGCAGTGTTGCTGAACCAGGGGTAGAACCATGGGTTATCATGTTGTTTGGCCCCAGCTGTGCTAAGAAGGCATGGCTTGTTAACCACAAACAACCCATGAAGAGCTTTGTTTGTTCTTGGGTTGTGAACTGTGGGTGGTTTTCCACAGTTTGTTATCTTGGTTGGGTTCAGATAACATGACAATCCATGGTTCAGTGACAACCCACACTCAACCCTTATCAGGCATCTGATAGTGAATGAGTAGTGTGTTGAATGATCACATTTAAGGGGTGGGAATCCTCCCCCCACCCCAAGGGTTCTGTCAAGAGTGGGACAGATCATTCTTGTCATACATCTGAACTCTTCCAGAAGGCTGCAGGTTGTCCCTTTTTAAATACATATGATATCCAGATATCATGCACATGGATTAAAATGTACAAAGGATCACGGGAAGAGCAAACCTCACTTCAGGCAAGTAAGTTTTGAAATTCCCTTTTAAAATTGTCTTGCTTGAACTACAGAGAGAAGAAAGAGTTCTGTTTCTTTTTATACTGCCTCTGTGATGTCTCCCTCCTCCCTAATTTTAACAATTCATCTTAATGTGTCTCTTGCCTTTGATTGCACATGGATTTGTCCTCAGGCTGTAGTACTTTTTCGGGGCTCCAGGTCTGACCAAGGGAAGGCAAACAGAAAGAGGCTGAGCAAGCTCAGTGTCCGCCAGAGAGCTGTCTCCTTCCTGGAAGAAGCCACCATATCTTGGGGTTCCCTTTCAATCCAGGGTTGAATCAAAGGGTGGTGGCAGAAGTTGTACATAGAGTAGAAACACTGCAGGCTGGCCCATCTTGCAATGGGGCTGGGTGCCTCTTCACCAGTACATGCTAATATATCCAAGTATTACATCTATGTAACTATTTTTGCAGCTCCTCGGTGAGCAGCATTGCCAAAATATTAAATAATCAGAGACTCTGCAGGTCTTTCCAAGTTATTTTGGCTGCTGATTTTACTGGGTATTTCTGTGTTTACGGATTTTTATTGGCGATCTCTCTGTTTATGGGTTTTTACTGAATATGTGCCGACTGGTCTTGAATGTGTCCTTTTAGGATGGTTTTTTATCTTGTAGCAGACTTCAGAGGGCTCCACCACTAAGCGACACCCAAACCCATTGCAAGGTGATCATTAATCTTACCTACTAATGTTCTGGGCCTGTTTGTTTGCCATTCTGCCTTCTCTTAAAGCTGTTCATATGTGCAGGAGGGAGACACTCCTCTGCAGAAAAGCAGCATTCGTGTGGAAATGGTACTTGATCTTAAATGATGATTCTGCTCGCTGGCCCAGTCCTTTCCCTGTGGGCCATTCATGGATCCCATGGTCACGAGGAGCCCTCTGGCTTTGCTTCAAGGAGTCTGACTGGTCAGCCTCACCTTTGCCTCTCATACTAATGAGCCGTGTGGCACCCTCGTGCCTGACTCCTCTGACTCTTGCTTGGGTTGGCTGCTATCATCGCACTCTGGCATGTGCACTGGATCTTGCTCAAGCCTTTAGACCTCATGACTGCTGCTTCACCTTGACTTCTCCTCTTGGCTTGCGCAGGTTGCCCCAGTGCCAAACCTCCCAAGATCCATCCAGCTGTAAGATATGGTTGTCTGATAAGTATCCCAGCTCTGACCATTTCCCTGCTGTGGTGACTGCCTTCTCTTTGACCTCAAGTTGGTCATCTTGGAGGTTCTATTAAACATTACCCTGAATTTGGCAGGGGATACTGCTTTAGGTTCACTGTGCCAAACACTCTTCTCTGGACAGTGACCTAGAAACTTGAAGTTTCTCAGCAACACAAAACTATCCTCCTCAAGGTTAGTCTGGCCAAATAACAACGTTGGTGCTGTCATATAGCAGTTAAAGACTTTGCAATTATTATTTTGCAGTTGCTTTTAATACACCAAAGTATTGCATGCAAAATTCCAGTGAATACGAAAGAATATGAAAGAACTGAATGTGCATTTCCCATTGCTTCATTTTCCTAATTTCCATATATTTAAAGAAAGGATTCTCAGCTTTCCTTACAAGGCAGAGGTTATGGATCATACCTCCAAGGAAGCTAGTGCGAAGTTAGCAGCTGGACTTGATGGAACACCTAGGAGTGATGATTAATTTGTATTTGTGTGTGTGTGTTTCCTCC